CAACATCCTTGTTTGTATGTGGTGCTGAGGATCGAACCCGGGCCGCACGCATGCCAGGCGAGTGCACTACCGCTTGAGCCACATTCCCAGCCCATAAAGTGGTAAATTTTAAGTTGCGTATATACATATATTTTATTTTTATTTCTTTTAGTTGTAGTTAGACACAAATATCTTTATTTTATTTATTTATTTTTATGTGGTGCTGAGGATCAAACCCAGGCCCTCTCAAGCACTCTACTACCCAGCCACAATCCCTTAAGTCGTGTATATTTTATCACAATGAAATAAGATCTGTGTCATGGAGAATGAGTCACACAGTGAACTGCTGGGAGGGAGATCAGGCAGGAGCTTGTTGCAATAGCCCAGGTGAGAGAGCGGAGGGGAGAGGGGAGACAGGAGGAGACAGGAGAGGCCAGGCAGTAGGGAGGTCACCGAGGCAGTCTGGGAGCGATATTTCAGCAGGAGAGGCCCAGGGACATCCAGGTAGAGAGTTCTCTAGCACTTCCTCATCAGGAAGAAGAGGGGATGCTGAGAGAGCCCTTGTTGAGATTAGGCTCTCCTATCTGGGGAACAATGGTGCTGGTGGCCTCGTCACCATGGGTGGTGTTCAAGGGATGGCCGGGAAGGGGATCCTGAGAAGAGACTAGAAGGAAGGGCCATAGCAGAAGGGAACTAGGGGGCTGTGGTATCAGAGAAGCCACAGGAAATGCAGTGTCAGATGCCACTGAGACCCAGGTAAGGTAAGGGTGGAGACTGGGTGGCATGGCCTGTGGAGATCTCCAGGAAGCTGGGGGACCCGACCCTCGCTCCAGGACATTAACAGGACTTCTGCCTAACCTTTTCATTCCCCTGGACTTGCCACTCCCTTCCCCACACACCCAACCAGGGCCTTAAGCTCCTGTTGGAGAATCTAGAGCTGCTGTCTGCCTCTAGGCCAGGGATTACAAAAGAAAACCCCCACTATGAGCATCTACCTTGGGCCAGGTGTGGATTCACCGGATTCACCTGGTTTTCACAACAATCATGTGAGAGTCAGCCAAACAGTGTGCCCCCAAATTCCTGTCCACCCAGAACCTCAGGATATGACTCATTTGGAAACAGGGTCTTGCAGATGGAATTAGTCAAGATGAAATCATACTGGATGAGGATGGCCCGACACCCAGGGAAGAATGAAGACTGAGAGACACGGGGTGGGGGGCGGGAAATACCTGCGAAGATGGAGGCAAAGGCTCGGGGGCTGCATCCACAGCCAAGGAACGCTGAGGGGTGCCACAAGCAGTGGAAGCCAGGGGAGGGACCCCAGCAGGAACCAACCTGCTGACACCTTAATTTTGGGCTTTTGGCTTCCATAACTATGAGAGAGTAAACTTTTGCTATTTTAAGCCACCCAACTTGTGGTAATTTGTTACAGCAGCCTCAAGAAGTCAAACAGTAGGTATTAGCCTCATTTTTTCCACAAATGGGAAAGTCACTTGGTTTCTTTAGGCCGCCAGTCCTCACAGGAAGCACACAGCAGGACTGGGATGGAAGCCAGGTGGCCCCAGAGCCTGGGCGCTCTTCCTCCTGGCCACATGGCTAGCATGTCACTCAGGAATCCACCAAGTCAGCATATAGGCGTTACCACACGCTGCGGTTTTGCTTTCTGGAACTCCAGGGCTCTTTCCCTCCACTTTGGTGGACATCTACTGTATTCCCAGTGATTAAACCGAGCTGCACTCTCGTTTTCAAATTCCCAGTCCCATTCCCAGCTAAGCCAGCCTCCTGCTTGGCAGCTGTTGCCCCAAGCAATACAGCAGTCTGCCCACACCCAGCTGCCCACGCAGCTTCTTGCTAGCATTTCCCAAACTACCTGAGGTGAAGGACTCTTTCTAAATTTGTCACTCTACTGCAGACAAATGCTTTCATAAAGTAAAAACACTGTGGCAAGGTCAGAGGGCCACTGAGTTCCCAGAAGCTTCCTCTCACTTTCTCTGCTTCCTGTTCAGCACGGGCCAGCTCAGCCTGTGTGTCATGCATTGAGCAGTGCTGTGCTGGCCCCTAGAAGTCCCTCAATTCCTCAGCTGATGCACTAGAAGAAAGGGGGGCACAAATGCTGAGCTTCATGATTAGGAAGAAGGGCACTGAAGGGTGGCCACCTTGATTCCTGGAGACTCCCTTCCAGCGTCACCAGCAAGAGGGGCATGAGCTGCCAAGCAGACCTGGAGGGTGCAGAATCCCACCGCCTGGGCCTAGGCTCCCATGTCCAAGCCTGGACTTGCTGACCTCCTCTCTAGGCCCTGGGCTGGTCTCTGCGACACTGGACTGAAAGGACTCGCCATCTACCTAGCAGACAATGCCTACTGTGGTTCACGTCTCAGATGTTGCAGTGGGTCAAGGGCTCTGGGTCCTACCATGAGAAGAACGCCAGACCCATTCCCCTGGAGGGCTCCCTAGAAAGCCCCGGTCCCTAAAACTGCAAACCAGGGAAGGCTGAGGACACCACAGCCCAGAGGAGCCTAGGGGACATGACAAGTCAATCTAAGGTGGTCACCTGGATGGGATCCCAGAACAGAATAGGGACATTAGGATGAAAGGAAGCAAATCTAGGTACACTCCTATGTAAATAATGACATTGTTCCTTAATTCAACAATGTACTACGCTAGTGTAAGATGTAAATAAAAGGGTACAGGGAACCCTCTCTACTATCCTTCGATTTTCCTATTAATCTAAAACCACTCTAAAAAAAGTGAAAGGCTACTAATTTTAAAGGAGGGAAAGGTCAACTGAAGGTTGTGAGCAGGGTGTGCTGTCAGAAGCGGAGGGGCTGCCGAGGAACAGCGCATGGGAGAGCCTCTGTAGCAGGCAAACACATGGAACACAATAAAGCACACCCACCAGGAAATGTGCCGCATGGAACGCATATGGTGTGCTGGGGCAAGGGAGCACTTGGGGATGACCACTCAGGACTTCCCAGGGAGGCTGGGTAGAGCTCAGTGGTATAGCCTTGCCTAGCTAGTACGAGGCCCTGGGTTCCTTGCCCAGCACTGAAAAATAATTTTTTTCCCCAGAAAAGGTAGGCTGACCCGGGACTAGAAAAATCTGTCTTTATGAAAGCAATGGTTTTCATTGCAAATGGCCGATTTGACTTCTGGTTTATCCTTTGAGCTTGTGTGTGCTGGGATACTGTGAGTCAGCCCCTCCCAGCCCAGTCTACTTGGGGCCACCAACTAACCAAGTTTCTGGGCCTCAGTGTTACTCGTTCTTTGCTTCCTGGGTGGCAGACACTGTACAGAAATCAGGGGGAAAAGAAGCGACTACACGCTCTCTCTGCTTCTTGGTGGCCCTGTCCTGACCTGCTTTCCTCTACCACACCCTTCCACCATGAAGTTCTGCTCACCTGGAGCCCCAAGGTATGAAGCTGTCTATTGATGGACTAAGGCCTCTAAACCATGAGCCCCCAAATAAACTTTTCTTCCTCTAATTATTCTTGTTAGGTCTTTTTGTCACAGCAGTGAAAAAGTTGACTTAAATGTTTCTTTTGAACAAGACCACTTAGGAATTAAATGAGGAAGAGGAGGAGGAAGAGGAGGAGGAAGACGAAGAGGAGGAGGAGGATGAAGAGGAGGAGGAGGAGGAGAAGGAGAGCAAAA